GCCAAACTAGGATAAAGCAAAACCAAACGAAACCGAACTAAGATGAAGACAGACCCAAACTAAGACCTTTAAATTTAATCCAAATGTAAACAAAGTACCATTATACCTTACCACTAATTAAATATGTGTACATGTAAAAATAAATAAAAATGTAAACAGCTTATCCGAATTGGGAATATTTTAACTAAGTCAAAAAAAAAAATTAATAATTAATGAATTATTGACTAAGTGTTTGGTTTCCAAAAGCTTAAGTTTAAGAAAAATAAACAAAATGCAAAAGAAATGATTGAAATATATTCTAAAACACTTCAAGATTTAAAGTACACAACAACAAAAAAAATAAATAGAATTTGGGAGAAATAAGATTTGTGCAAATCAAAGTCAATTTTAGCTAATTTGGAAAAGATAAAACACAAGATGCAAAATAATGGGGGTGGGGAACCAAAACAAAATAAAGAAACTATTAGAACTTAATTAATATGGAAACTAATCAAAATTTGCTTACTATTTCTGGGAAAGAAAATACTATGAAACAGAATGCCACTAGGTATTAATGCAACTTTTGAACTAATGCAAGCTTGCAGAGAAAATAAATATATGATAAACTTAAATCACAAAATTACAAGAAAATAAAATAAATAAAACAAACCAAATGTTTATAGGAGCCTGAAGATGTCCAAATAGTGATAACTTCCTGAGAATATACCGGTATCACAAATGTCCGCACAAAATAACACCTATTTGAAAATTGTCCGTACAAACTATTTACATCTAAAACCATTCAGCATCTCATTCTCAATCCACCATTTCTGGCCCCGCTTTGGGCGCCAAATCGGGTGGGGGTCAAGGCAAATGAATGACCACACAGTGGGTGACGTTTCAAAACTTTATTAGAACAAAACTTAAACAAACCCCTGAAAGTACAATAAATATGATCATATAACTATCAGAGAAATGAATAAATTAAAATAACATAATATAACTATGCTAATAAATAAAACACAAACTATATTTCGAATGCCACTTTAGTCACACATGATAAATATAAATAATGAAATATTATGTATACAAAATACAAAAATACATACCCAGAAGTTGGGGGTTAAACTTAGAAATATCAATACTCTTATTAAAAACTATATTTTTACCATATTAATGTGCAATACTAAATATTTACAACAACTACCACAACTGAACTTAAAACTGAACTAGAACTATATGCAAAATACTTGAGAATGCAAAATGGCTGCCATACACTTTGCTTATATGCCTATTAATAACCTTGCAAAATCTTACAGAGCACAATATACAGATATTATACTATATATTATAAAACATACCTTTAAAATCCAGAACTGATTTAAAAAAATCCTCACATAAACAACACAATCCATGAAATATGAATATAATAAAGAGTGAAATTTGTAAAATACAAATTTCCCGCCAAAACATACAGGGAAGAACTGAAACAATCCTTTCTACACGAAAACTAAAGGCTTAATGACAAAAAGATAGAAAAGTAAGAATGTTCAGAGTGATGAGATCACATTGGTGAGTTGAACAGAAGCTCACCAATGGATAAAGTATAAAGAAGATAGAACAGGGTGAACAGATTTGAGTTGATATATTATATATTTGTGACTATGTGTTCAGTGTGTAATTTTGTAAACCTGACAATCCATTGCTATGACAAAACTATCAAGAGCACAGCCTCAAATGCTCACTTTTAATAGCAAAAGTATTAACAGGCTGCGCCTAGCTACATGAATTACTAGAAGTATGTTAGGACCGGTAAAACGGGGAAAGATGAAATTTCTACTAGAAAGGACCAATAGGATTGGGCTATCAGGAGGCACGATGTGATGTTTTGTTTTTTAAACTTTTAAGCTGTCCTTAAGGATGAAAGGTAACCATTTTACATTTTAGTGTTTTGATATCTTGAACTAATACATTTGTAGCCTTGTTGTATGTTGTAAAAAGTTGCCTGGACTGGAGACAAAGATTTCACCGCTAATGCTATTACCTCCTGGGATCGTAATGGAACAAAAAGGTATAGTAGCATTTACTATACTCTAGAATTATCTGGACAGGTCTAATGTTACCTATAAGTACTTACTATAAGATTAACATCTTGGGTATTGTTAATTGAGTACTTGTTAACAATAGAAAATAGACTAGTGTCTCCAGATGTCGGCCCAAATTTGGAGGGAAATTCAAATTATTTTCTTTGTTCAGAGCGACACCTATCGGAGGATATATATAGGGCGAAAACATATTTTGGGAAACTCTCGATTTGGCAAGGAAGGAGGAAGGACATAGGATTCATTCGTTAGCAAGGGTTAGGATCACGTCGTAGTAGTATATGAGCTTTCAATTGGGTCGCATAAAAGGGGATTTCCCCATTTCATTTCATGGGGAAAATGCGACCTAAATTGAAAGCTCCCATAACATAAAAGACCTAAACATTATACATTTCATAAATTCTTACACTAAAAAACTCAAATTTTAAACCTTAAAAATGGCATAATGAAATAAATTCATTATCGAATTGGTTGCTTCTTTCCGATGCTTATTTCAGGTGTGATTTCAAAATTAAAGAAGCCACTCAGAATCAAGTTCCACAAACTAATACAACGTTAGAAAACAATTTCTTTCCATCTTTATTTAGCGAGGTGGTTTTGGAAGCTGGTTTAAATCCGATAGAAACAATCAAACACCCTGGGGAATTCGACACAATGTTGAAAACAGTTTTATATCCTAAAGATTTCGATTCAGTTTCAGGCTGGATACCCGATGTTGGTGATGGAAGTATTTTAAAAGAACCGGTAAGAAATCTTGCAAATGATGCCGATTTAGCTAGAGTGAGAGTTGAAACACGATAGAAAGAGTAGGAAGAGCAATTAATCATGGATTCGAAAAACGAGTACTTCAGTATAATAATGTTGTTGAGAATAATAGGTGGGGTAATTACGTAAATTGGAAATTATATCCTTTACTCGGTCTGTTGGAACATAGAAAAGTTTCCATAGGCTTACCATATAAAATTCATCTACAAAGAGAAATCAACGACGATAAGATATTTTTTGGAGAGAATGGTTCAGATGCAAAATTAGAAATAACGAATCTCCAACTTTTCATACCCGTAATAACACCATCAATTGAAGTAGAAACGAAAATATTCAACTCGTTAACTAAAGATATTGAAATAGCTTTTCTTCATCGCAACACTGTAGGTAGCATGACTTTAACTGGAGAATCCACCACGTGGCCAATCACTAACACTATTAAACCAGCAAGATATTTAATATTTGGTTTCAAGAACTTACCAGATTCTCAAACGAATAACAATAATGTCTTTAGAGTGGCAATGAACCAAACTCAAGATCCTTTAATCCATAAAGTTCAAGTAAGATTAAACAACGATAATTATCCTAACCAACCTTTAACAATTAATCCAACCACAAAGGATTATAATGAATTGTATAGAAACTATAAAAATATGTGTGAATTATTCGGAAATCTACCTCAGTTTGAATATGTAGATTTTGCACTTAATCATCCAATCTTCTGTTTTGATCTTTCAGCTCACCAAGAAGATCTTTTCAAAACAGGAGTCAACATAAATATTCATATTGAAAAAACACAAGGAGATGTAACAGGTTATTGTTTATTATTGGAAGAAGCAAAATATTTAATTAAAATAGCATATAGAAGAATGATAAGAATTGAGTAAAAAATACACCTTTAAAAATGAAACCAGAAACTTTAGTTATGAAAATAATAGAAGCTATTGAAACAGCTTCACCAACTACAATAACTTATAATGGTAAAAAAATCAGCATAACTAAAAAACTTATTGATAAATACAAATATTTTAAAGTCAGAGACGATATAGACTTAGAAAGAATTGACGCGAACGCAAAAGAAGGTGGATTTATATTTTCCCTACCATTAATATTTGCTGGTATTACCGCGGCGGCTTCAGTGGCTGGTGCTACAGCTGGTGGAATAAAAGCTGCCAACGCAAAGAAAGCTGCTATTGCAGAAGCTGCTGCTAAAAAAGCCACCGATGAAAAAAACGCAGCCGAACAACGTAGACATAATTTAAAAATGGAAAAGTTGGCAGCAGAGGTTGAAAAAACTAAAACGGAAAAGAAAGGTTCAGGAGTGGGAGAAATGATAGGCACAATGAAAGAATTTGGAAAAAAATTTAGTGAAGAAACCAAGAAAACTGTTAAACAAGGATTAAATAAATTAGTAGATAGTATTGACACAGGAGAAATCAAAGTCAAACATAAGGGTAATGGAATATTTTTTAAAAATATACGCACTGGAGAAGGAATATATCTTTCGAAGTATAAAGGAGAAGGAGTTATTTTTGGAACAAAATAAAATAATAAAAAATGGGTAAAAAATTTAATCATTCAGAAATATTTCCTAATAACCCAATGCTCATGTGTATATGCGGTAGTTCCG